ATATAAATACATAATCGGAAAATTTATAATAATAAAAAACAATAAGCAAAAAATCATAATAATAAAGTAAATAAATAAGAAACAAAACTAAATATAATAAAATAAGATCAGATCTGTTTTTTTTTTTTTCATCCGATGTTTTGTTCTTGTCCAATCCCAAATGTATATATGAACACAAATTCTTAGATGTTATAGTATATCATTTTGAGGAATTTTGGTGACAAAAATAAAGTTTTATCTTCTACTCAAAAAAACCTAGGGTAAATTTAAAGAGTAATGTCATGTAGTTCCACAGAGGTTACAACCTTTAGTTTAGGTTATATTTAATTCATATGCACTAGATGATTAAGTAAGTAAAATATGGAATTAAATTACTTATTTAATTCCGTATATCATTTAATGTCACATTAATGCCACTTATATATATTGGGGTTGTAACCCAACGTGACTAATTAGCATTACTCAAAATTTAATTATCTTGGTATCAAGAAAAAGTAAAGAATAGATTGTAATTCTCGTTTTTCATTAATATTGGGGTTGTTTCTAATTTTTCATTCATAAAAATGAAAAATATGGCCGTTATTCATCACATCAATCCATCAATTTTGAATTTCTATCTCTTGTGTGGGGTCCAATAACGACCACATTTTTTTATTTTCATTCTACAATAATGAGAATCAAATGGGCTCTAAAAAGTATTCCACTTCTAATAAAAGACTTTGTTATGGAACTAACCGACATTGTTCAAAAACATCACGAAAGATAACAATCTCAAAATCAACAAAATATTATAAAGGAACTATGACAGTCAAGCTTAACCTTTGGTTTATAAGGTTGCTCATCAACCTTTCTCTATTTTTCAAGTTTGAAGATCCTTCAATGGAACCACGTTTTCTCTTGGTCGATTTCAATTTACGAACACTTGATTCACATTCTTTAACTATAGGTCCAATTATGTATGGTAAAAAAAGAAACAAAAATCGTAGAGTTATAGAGTGGAGATGAATATCGAACTCAAAATCAACAGATTCACCATAGAAAACTACAGTTTCTTTTAGATCATTATGTCCACACCACAACTTTTGCTTGCGGCACCACATTTTAATTGCAATAATTGTTCCAAATTTTTGCTCATTTTTGCACTTATATCCTCTTTTTTTCTCCATATTCTTATTTTCAACATTTCGTTAATTAGAAATATTTTTATCTTGATGATTGTTATCGTCCAAAAAAATTAGAAGGATATAAAAAGATTTATTTACTTCTCATAATTTTAAATAAACAAAAAGAATCAAATACAAAAGTTTGAAAAAACATTTGCCTCCCGTGTCAATGTGTGCTAACATAATATTTGGACATAAATAATCAAAATAGACAAAGTGTACTAATTAATTAATGATAGAATAACAAAAAAAATGGAGATGTAAATGTGATAAATGAGAAAATGTTATGGATTTTAATTGCAATAAAAATGTGCGGTGACATAAAAAAAATTTGTTTTTGGAGATATTATAGGTAGGGATGTCAACGCGTCTTGTTGGCTAGGATAGCCCGTGCCTTGATCTGGGATAAGCTCGAGCATCGAGCCAATACTCTAGCTGAGCTTCATTTTCAAGTGTTTGCTAGAGCTTGAGCCGGCACATGATAGACCATTAACACGGGTCAAAATGGCTTGTATATATAACTGTTTGCATGAAGCTGCCAATGTTTCATGCAGGAAGCTATAGTTGCTTGATACACCGATGAGAGTTGTAGCTGCCTTCGTTTCATACAAGCAGCTATCGTGCAGCTGCTTTTGTAGTTGTAGCTATTAAAAAAATTGAAATATCCCATCAATTTGATTTTATTCTATTATTTAATTTTTAAATTTATTTGTTT